TACTTTGCTGACCATACTCTACATCACAATAGCTTAGAATGAAAAGCAACGAGGGTAGTATTCCTGGACAAGAAGTCAGGGATCGATACACACCAGCCATATCACAAGATACCTAAAGACACCTTGATCACGAAAATCAATTAGGCTGGAAAACTGCTGAAGGGTTCATCTTGTCTGATTGGAGACCGCGGTAAAACACTGCAGTCTTTGTACATGAGTCTACTCACAAAGAAGTGTCCGAGTAGAATACATCAACACTGGCTTAATCCCATTTAGATTGCATGTGCCCTAGACTAGCGTGACTTTCTTACAACAGAATATGGCACTCCTAACATCTGAGATATCTATACCAGGCTTACACGTCCAGCTGGTTTGAGTTTCAATGTAGGCTGCTGGGTGCATTCTGCTTTTAACATTAGCAATAATAATTATAGCCGGGGCCCTATTTTTTTGGAGAATAAACCAACTACCTACCCAGAAGCATGTCGTAAAAGTCGAATAATTGGGAGCTTCCTTCGAAATCGGAGTGCGTCTGCCTGAGAGGCAAGGAACCAGCAGTCTGCATACAAATGAGTCAGATCTGTAAAACGGATGCACACACAACACTCAGGTTCTGGAACAGGACTGCAGTCCAAAAGTGGATGAACAACCAGAACTTTCCGCCAGAGTTTACAGATGGTGAACAAGAAGAAGAAGAAGAAGAAGAAGAAGAAGAAGAAGAAGAAGAAGAAGAAGAAGAAGAAGAAGAAGAAGAAGAAGAAGAAGAAGAAGAAGAAGAAGAAGAAGAAGAAGAAGAAGAAGAAGAAGAAGAAGAAGAAGAAGAAGAAGAAGAAGAATTATATAAACTAGGAAGAAATCTGGCGCTTCTACGCTGCTCTGGGGAACTTCCTGTCTCAGTTTCAGTGACTAGCTAAGAGGCTGTCTATTCTAACGTTAGCTAATCCTTGGTACAGGCAGACTTTTATCCAAGAATACAGGTTCTAACTCATGGTTGTAGATTTCCAGTTTAGGTCCTTGTTCCACACAGTTTTGAAAGTACGGACAAATTAATATTAAAACGAACTCCCGCCCCCTCCCCCCCCCCCCCCCTCAAGTTAAAATAATATTAAAGACAAATGCAAACCAGGTTGATTTAATCTGTTAAAAAACATTTAAACATACAGACTGTTAATCGAAATGCCCTTTCTCTTTCTAATTATTTTCCCACCCCGTTTTTCAACGTCACTGTCTTAGTTTTTATTCAGTGTTCTCAATGATACCTAGGGATGCCCCTCAAATGTCATCGAGGCAATTACTGCCCCCCTTGATCGTACCAGCACTCCCTCCCCTACAAGCAGAGGGCTGGCCCACACACTTTGGGAACCTATACTCTACAGCAGTGATTCTCAAACTGGGGAGCCATGACCTCTTCACAGGGGCGCCGCGACATATTCCAAAATACACTAGTTTTATTTGTTTTGATCTCTTACATACGAATATTTATACTTTTACCTAGGTTAGGGCGCCGTGGAAAATGTTAACTGAAAAAAGGCGCCGCGACTAACAAAAGTTTAGGAAACACTGCTCTACAGCAACTTCCCATCATGAGATAGGAACACATTTCTGGGATCAGTCAAGCTGAATGCTAATGCGTTTAACTTCACAATTAAAATGCCTAGTTTTGGATAGTCGACTGTGGCTCAAGGAGTGCATGAGCGTAGTTTCATAATTCAGATATCTCTGAATCGGTTCGGTTGCAGGCGATTTGGCAACAGACTACTTTATATTGATTTTAACCACTAGGTCGCCAGTCAAAAGCAATGGGGAAATTATAAACCCACAAACAGCCACTAAATCCTGCGGCTGGATTTGTAGTTTTCCTTTCTTATCGTTTCATTGGCTGTAAATTCACCGGCGGAAAATCCTGGTTGTTCGTCGATTTGTAGTTTAGCTTTGTGCCAGGGCCTGAGAATTGCGTGCTCATCCGTTTTACTAGCTTGTTTGTCTGCAGTTGGTTGTTCCTTGACGCTATGGTAGATGCGCTTTTGACCTTTAAGGAAGCTCCTAATTAGTCGACTCCTACGACATGCTTTTTGAGGAAGCCGTGGGCCTATTCTCGTTTCCCCCACAATAGGGCCCCGGAACCCACACGGGAAGGCTGGATTATGACATCCTCTAAAGACAATACAGAGAACTAACTAACTAACTAACTTGACAAACAATCAACCAATCAACCTATCAACTAAACAGCCGGGCATAAATTTGAAAGTGTGTGTGTTTCGTGTGAGTGTGTGTGTGTGAGAGAGAGAGAGAGAGAGAGAGAGAGAGAGAGAGAGAGAGAGAGAGAGAGAGAGAGAGAGAGAGAGAGAACGTTTACCGTGGCGTTTTCGAAAACTGATGCTAGTGTAGCGTACATATGTATACACTACAATTGCGTGTTTGTAAAAGTTATACACATATAAGTAGAAAAAGGAGTACAAAGTCGAACACTATAAAAGCTACACATTTCTATAATTTCAAACAAAGCACAAGCGAATCAGAAGTATTACATCGGTAAGCATTGAGTATAAATTTACATCTAAATGGGTGGAAAACAAGCAACATGGTTAAAGCAAGAAAGCTGGCAAGTGCCATCAAAAAAATATTTAAAGTAAGTTGCAACAGTCAAAATGTAGCTCATTAATACTATGAACGCAAACACTTCCTCCGTTTGTGTGCGCACGCACACACATATAAACACACACACGCACACTTACACACACCGCGCATATAAGCTTCAATCATCTTGTGCCGTACCGATGAACGTAGACTGTCATATTTCACTATCTCACATAATCACCAGAATCTAGGCTTGAGTCACTGCCCTTATCTCGCCCCATCCACATTGTAAAGACATCCAGGTATTTAATTGTCTGCCTTCCCCTGGCTCTGTTTCGGTCAGATTTACCAGTCGTCACCAAGTTCTCCAGCGCATTCCCTAACATGTCCGAAATAATCTTATGTCTAATTTTTCTAGTAAGTTTACGACTGTAATCTGTCTAGAGGAATGCTTCGTTGTTTTTCTTTTTCTTTCTAGTATTTCATGATGTTCTTTGACTTCTCCCATAAAACCACAATGAGTCAATGTTCCTCAGTCGGTGTGCTTAAGTCTCACATGCACACAACAACATTCTACCACCTGTTTAGATAACAACTTCTCTTGAGAATGTGTCTTATAAAAAAACTTGAGTTCGTTAAGCTTTTTTTTTTATGTCTCCAAGAAATTCCCCCTTCCCCCTTGTACCCCCCTTCAGGCGAATATTAGCCATAAAAAAGAATTTGAAAATTAAGCAAACAACAAGCTAGAAAAGTAAACTTGGATATAAATATCCACCAGGCAGCTGCCAAATGACGTTAAAAAGGTAAAGCATAACTTAATAAGAGCAACAAAGAATCTAATTTAAAAAAGGAAAGAAACAGAAAATAACCTCTTCTTTGCCGTCGCCTGCTGTCGACAAAACAATAAAACAAGCCAATATATTTGTAATTCTTATAAACATATTTTGTAATTTGTTAGCAGAAACAATACACTACTTGAAGAATAAGATGATACGAAAAAGATGGTGATGATAAAGATGAATCAGCAGAGGTAGAAAGATAGATAAAATAGATTATAATGTTGACGACGTTTATAATATCATTAGGAGGAATAGCAATAGTAGAAGCATGAGGGGGGGGGGGGGGCGAAGCAAAAAAAGAGTATGAACAGTAGAAAGCCCAGGGAAGACAGAGTAGGTGGCTATGTAAATCAACACACACACACACACACACACGCGCACACACGCACACACACGCGCACACGCACACACACAGATAGACAGACAGACAGACAGACAGACAGACAGACAGACAGACAGACAGACAGACAGACAGACAGGCAGGCAGGCAGGCAGACAGACAGACAGACAGACAGACAGACAGACAGACAGACAGACAGACAGACAGACAGACAGACAGACAGACAGACATAATCTGTGCTGATGGAATGATGTAAATACCAGTTGTGCTTACTGAGTTATGTGAATACTGGTAGTGCTGATAGTTATGTGAACAATAGTGTGCTGATGCAGTTATGTGAACACTGGTAGTGATGATAGGGTTATGTGAACAATAGTTGTGCTGATGCAGTTATGTGAACACTGGTAGTGCTGATGCAGTTATGTGAACGCTGGTTGTGCTGATGCAGTTATGTGAACACTGGTTGTACTGATAAAGTTATGTGAACGCTGGTTGTGAAGATAGAGTTATGTAAAAGTTTAAAGCTACGGTGTTATGGGAATTAGTTTGGTCTGCAAGGCTATCTGAATATTAAGCTGTGGATAAGGGATTGTCTGCAAATTAGTTGGAATTGTGACGTTATGGAACGTTTTTCTGAGGCCAGCAAGTTTTGTGAAAATCGTTTTAGTGTGGTCAAGATATGAAAATAAAAATCTTAGGTTGTTTAGTTGTATGAATATCATAACTGGGTGAAGGTAAAGGTGAAGTCGGGAGATATGAACCAGCATCATTGCACACGGTTATAAACCATAAATGCTCTGCCACCAGTACGGACAGCTGATAAGAATTGTCCGCCTGTGTCGCCGTTCGCACATAACTCTGTAGCTACAGCGACGTTCCTCCATTTACCCCAGAGTATCACCCTGGTACCCATTTCCTAGAGGCTGGGTGAACCCCGGGGAGCCGCCCGGTTTCGAAAACCGACCGTGGGCTACAGCGAGTCACAGCTTGATTTGAAAGCGAGCTTCTTATCGACTACGCTAACGCGGCCCCGATATCCGTTTTGAACGATTGACAAAAATTATTGGATCTCATTATTTCTGATATAACCATAGTGGTGGCAATGTTCCTAAAATATCTGGGTAGTTGAGTTTTGTGAAAATTAGACTGCAGTCGTGGGTATATTAACTTTTTGGGGATGTGAAGATATGTGAATATCAGTTAGGAGAAATGTAATTACGAGAAGGTACACTATAAAAACTTACCTCCCGTGCTCTTTCATATTTTGAGACGGAAAAGAGACTGGCCGGACAGCAGGCTGAAAACTGTTTTGTTTTCTTTCTGAGCACCAAAGTGGGTCGTCTGTCTTCCTTATATTACCCTGTTGTCTAATTCCCAAGTCCTGTAACTCTGTAGCTACCGAGAAGACTGAAGAGCGACTATCAGCAATATTCTCTTCCAGTGATAGAGTATGTTGTGTCAAAACTCTTCGAGAAGGCACTGGTGAAATATCTGGGTTCAAAGGCGTCTTAGGCAATGTTAACACACTCTCCGAGCTAAAACCAAGTAATCTTCTTCTGGACAAGGGACTACAGTTTGTATTATGAATATCAGAAGCTTGTTTAACTTCGTTGGGGGTTTCACCTGAAACAATTGTATGGTCATTTATGTGTGAACTAATCTCATGCTGCATATTTTCCTTGCGTGTTTTTAATACTGTAGTACTATGTGTAGAATGTTGCAGTTTGTTGCTAACATTTTCTTGAATCTCCAGAACGCTATCCGTTTTGGACGATTGAAAAAAATTATTGGGTCTCATTAATTCTGAAATAACCACAGTGGTTGCAATATTCCTAAAATCTGTTTTTGGGACTTTGGTTGTATCACGTTCACATTCAATTCCTTGGGTTGTTCTGTCGGCTATGATAGTTTCATTGACTATGTAGGATCCAGAAAAGCAGTCATCGGAATCGTAGCTTTCATCAGAAGACGAGTTGTTGTCAAGACTTGTCTTTGAATAAGCCGCTCCTGCGACCTCTTTTTGGCAGAAGCTAGAAAAGGCAGCACCTGTAGAGGCACTTTGTTCAGGATTAGTTTTCTTATGATCCTTGTTCAGAAAATAGTTAACTGGTGGAATACTTGGGCAACACTGGGCAGAGAATTCGGTGCCTTTTTGTGGAAGTTCGCTATGGCTCATTGTTGTAACTGTGTCCATGTTAACTTCTTTACGAATCTTTCTATGGCTTGATATCACTTGTAAAGCATCATCGGGAACAACCTGGGAAATAAAATATTTTGGCGCAGTGAGAATCCTGAAGTAAATCACAGACATTCGGTCGGTTAGTGAAACATTATGTTACAGTTTCAGTGATGTGGTTTTTATAGAAAAATGATGAACAGACAGAAAAAGTAATGAAGATGTGTTGAAATTAACTCACAAAGGGAACTGATTACTAGCATCAAAAGGATTCAATTTACACGCTTTAGGTTTGTCGTGAGAACATTGAGGCAGTTGGAATGTGGAATGGGAGAAGAGACAGAAGTAGAGGAAATTAAAAATGCATAAGAGATAATCGATATCAGAAATGATTAACATGCATAGAAATAATCGATATCAGAAATGATTAACATGCATAAAAGATAATCTATATCAGAAATGGTAGACAGTCAATGAGACAAGACTGCTGGCAAAGATGAAAACCAGCTATGAGAAGAAGAATCGAAGAAAAAAGAGAAGACCATGAAAAAGAAGAGGAAGAAGAAGAAGAAGAAGAAGAAGAAGAAGAAGAAGAAGAAGAAGAAGAAGAAGAAGAAGAAGAAGAAGAAGAAGAAGAAGAAGAAGAAGAAAGAAGAAGAAGAAGAAGAAAGAAGAAGAAGAAGAAAAAAGCATAGAAGAGAAGAAGAAGAAGAAGAAGAAGAAGAAGAAAAGAAGAAGAAGTAGAAGAAGTAGAAGAAGAAGAAGAAGAAGAAGAAAAGGAGAAGAAGAGAAGAAAAGAAGAAGAAGAAGAAGAGAAGAAGAAGAAGAAGAGAAGAAAGAAGAAGAAGAAGAAGAAGAAGAAGAAGAAGAAGAAGAAGAAGAAGAAGAAGAAGAAGAAGAAGAAGAAGAAGAAGAAGAAGAAGAAATAGAAGAAAAAAAAGAAATATAATTATGTAAATTTATCACTCTTGCCCGTGTATCCACATATTCCTGTAATGTTGATGTGCTGATCTTCAGTATCCGATCATGCCACATATGGCTGTTTTTAAACGTCCAAAATACACACAAGAAATCAGACACTGATTCATCTGGTGAATCTGTTTTCAGTCATCCAACGCTAGTGTGGCAGTGACTGCCTCCACCTTCACCTTCATGCTGGAATTTGTAGATTTAAAAACACAAACTCCTACCTCGAATTTGGTTCCATTCTAGGTGAGAAACCCCAGCCACATGTACAGAACCATCGGCTTACACTACTGCGTCATCTAGCCGGGAAATCTTCGTCTTTAAGTTGTACTTCCATTTATGGGGGGGGGGGGGGATGGGGAGAATAAACCCACTCCCTCCTATAAGCATGTCGTAAAAAGCTACTAATTAGGGATTAGCTGAAAATGGATGTGTTAGGTCAAAAGGAGCAGATGTCGCAGCCTAGCTTTAAACAATAATTTAACTGGCCAACCCCTTTTAAAGGCGATTGCCGAAGAAGAAGAACCTCCAATTCTGCCTTACTATTACGCATATATAAATCAGCTGCAGACACAGATCACCCTTTGCACGAAGCTGTGGGCGCAGTTAAGGGTCAGTGGCTGATAAGAGGAAAGTTATGGATGGCACCGGTCTAACACACACACACACACACAAACATCGTGATTGTAACTGATTCAGAAAGCATGCTAAGGAAGGTCAGGACAGATGTGCCTTGTGCAGAGTGACATGCTTCGCTGCGGCGGATACAGATGAGGAGTATTGTCTAGATTTTTTCTCCGGTAAAAGCCGGTGCGTTGGGAAATGGAACAGTCGGACAGACTGGCTGGCTCTGCACAACTCTATAGAAAATTGATGAGTGATAAAGCAGACGTAGTTGGGGCCTTGTGGGATAGCGTGTACAGTTCAGAGGAGCAGATGGATCACCACAGTCTGGTGAGATTGATGCAGTGGGGAGTGACCAGGGGTTCTAGCCGATGCTCGAGGTTCAGAAAAAAAAGGCGAGACGGATGTTTAATCAGAATGCTACTGGCACCACTAGTATCGGAACTCTGCACTGATTGCTGAAGATACGGACGGAGCGCTTATGGGGATTCCCCGAGTGCTGTGACTTCGGTTCTTGAATCAACTCATCAACTCAACGCATATATTAACCATATAATCAATTCCCGAAGACCTACTAACCTTGGACTGAAACCTGACACAAAGTGCGATACCAGCAATCAGCAGTAAGATATCTGCACCCAGCAAAACCATGCCAAATACGTGCAGGGCGCTAAATCTGGAAAACCCGGTCTCGTCTTGGAATGCCACGGCAGTGATGACAATTCCGGGAATCAACAGGGGAATGGCAAACACTATCATACCCATCCCGGTGCTTGGTCTGTTATCCTCCCCAAAATATTTCTTTCTTATGTGAACACAAAAGTTGATTCTACGCTTGTCCATTTGGGACAGTTGTATTTTTTTCCATATACATGTGTTGTTGTAGGCAGATTCTGGCGGTTTACGTATGACTCATCGCTTGAACAGGGTTAAGTTAATTTTCCAGCTGATCCAGCAACCAGTGACTCATTGGCTTTTCTTTCCTGCAAAAAAAAAAAAAAAAACCAAACAGAAAGTCAAATGAGTAAAGGGAGATACACAGTAAAACCTTGCAGCCTAAGAAAAACATTAGGTTAACATGAACAAAGTGTTGATTTTTACATGGGTAAATATTTTATTAATTATTAATAATTAAGTTTATTTTAAGTCCCCGGCTAGCATGCATTTTTTAACATCAACTTAGTTTTTCGGTGCATGGAAGTTTGTGTTAACATAGTTTTACTGTAGTAAAATAAGTAACCTGTTTTCGGAAACTTTGATATGATATAAAAGATGACGGCAGAAGTTTGAAAAGGGTTGGAAAAGGGGTGGATTGGGGTCAAACGAGAATAGAAATTGCTTTAAAAAATATGAACAGCGTGCTAAAGTTTTTACAATCAGGAGAGATAACCACGTTAACAATGAGAATTAAAAACATAGAACACGGACTCAATGTGCTCCGGGCCCTTGTGCGCCGCATCCCCCCCCCCCCCCCTTTTTCCCCATCAAATTATTTTATGGGGATTGGTGGGGGAAGCTGAGTAACCGAAACAATTTTTGAAAAGCTTGTATGTCTTGGGGAAGTAAAGACCGCATTACCCACCTAGTGCAGATTGGTCTGGGAAAATATGGGTGCTTTTCCCATATGCTTGATGCGCCTAAAGGCGTGAAAATTGATCTTTACTATATATATATTGATTGACACCTTACCGTCTTTCCAGACGATAGTGTTATATTGCGCTATGAGGAGGCATGAGACTCACAGCCCATGGCAATGGCGAGTGTGACTAGCAAGACCGCCCGTGTCAAGAAAAGTCTTCCACAATGATAGCATGGGATTTCAGGACCATTGTTGTCATCCTCTGTGTTTAATCTGTTTCTCTTCAGACGCTCAGCTTTTAAATCTTTCTGCAATAATTTCTTCCTTCCCTCTCATTTCCTTCCTGATATGCCCTTTCCACACAACACGGTCCCTGGCATTTTGTTCCCATGAGTCCACATCAATACCTGTATCATTCATGTTCCGCGTGCATACATCTTCATACCGTAGTAGAGGTCGGCCTCGACATCTTCTTCCTGTGTTTAATTCACCATAAAGGTTGTTCTTAGGGACTCTGCCATCCTCCATTCGCCAGGTGTGACCCAGCCACCTGAGCCTTTGTAGACTGAGCATGGAAAAGACTGTTGTAGTACATGCTCTTTCCAGTATCTCAGTGTTTGTGATTTTGTCCTGCCACTTAATGCCAAGAATTCTACTTAGGCATCGCGTGTGAAAGCTATTTAGCCGTCTCTCTTGGTGCAAAAAGGCTGACCAAGTTTCACTGCCATAAAGCACAGTGCTGAGAACACAAGCCTGATAGACAAGGGTTTTTGTTTTAATTGTGAGCTTTCTGTTCTCCCAATCTTTCTTTGTCAATCTGCTCATTGTTATTGCTGCCATACCTATCCTTATGTTTGATTTCTTGTGGAACCCAGACAGGTAAAATGGTCTACTGTCTCAAGCTCTTCACCACAAATGTAGACTGTAGGTCTGTCATTGACACCTTGCAACATTACCTTTGTCTTCTTTTTGCTGACTGTTAGTCTAAATTCATAGCATGCATCAGCAAAGGCAGATAGTAAACATTACAGCTCCTCCTCTGAGTGGGTGGTTATTGCGGCATCATCTGCAACCAGCAGCTCTCTAATAATATATCCTGGTTTTGGCCTTCAGCCTGCGTTGTAAAGGCTGCCGTCAGATCAAGACTGAATGAACATACCATCCTCCTGATCTCGAAAGGCATGTGTCAAAAGAATTGAAAAGTATATTCCAAAGAGGGTAGGATCAAGTACACACCCCTGCTTCACTCCATTTTTGATTACAAACTCCTCCGATGTTACACCATCAAAGTGAATTGTACCTTTCATACTTGTGTGGAACGACTCAATAATACTCAGTAGAGTAGGTGGACACCCAATCTTCTTCAGTGCGTTGAACAAACCTTTTCGACTAACCAAATCAAATGCCTTAGTAAGATCAATAAAAGCAACATACAGTGGTTGATTTTGTTCGCGGCATTTTTCCTGCAACTGTCGCAATAAAAATATCATATCAGTGGTAGATCGGTTCCCACGAAAGCCACACTGGTACTCTGGGTAAACGCGATCCCCCAGGGTCTGGAGTCTTCCCAGAACAATTCTAGCAAGCACTTTTCAAACAGTACACAGCAGTGATATTCCCCTGTAGTTATTGCAGTCACTCCGATCTCCCTTGTTCTTGTACATAGTTATGATGCTTGCGTCTTTAAAATCTTGCAGAACCTGTCCCTCTTGCCAGCAGTGTTATTAGCTGATGAATGTGTGGGGTAAGAATGTCTTTCCCACTTCTTTTGATTTCAGTAGAAATCTCTCTCTCTCTCTATTATATATATATATATATATTGATATTCTTAAACTATGCGTAAGCTCGTTGTGGACACTACTCCACCCCTAATCTCTTCGGAAAATTCATATGGCTGTTTTCGATTTTCTCCTTCTGTCGGCGCCCTAGTTGTAAAATATGATATAATTATATGTATTCTCGGCCCTACTAAACGGTGCATAAATCTCGACAATGAGCAGTAATAAGAATGTCGAATTAAGTCTCTGCAGTCTCTGGTTTGGGAATAAAAAGAAAGTTGTTGACAGAAATAAAAGTTTTAAAAAGTGGCAAGTGAAACTTTTGAAATTATTAAATATGATACTGCCTATTTAAAAACATACCGGAGGCAAAAATAAAAAATAAAAAGCTTTTCAGGAAGCTGTGGGCAGCGATACAGGCGTGGTCTTAATCTCAAAAAGATCGAAACAACAGTATCAGAGAGTTTACAATAAGAACGAGAGACAGGGAGTGTTAAATATATAATCTGAAACTGCTCGTAACATTTTCACACAACACTCTTGTTTTCAGATGACCACTTAAGTGTTACTGCAACATTTGCCAGTTAGCACATTGTTGTGATTATTATAACTTTGCAGTTAAATATGACGAATGACATGTATTGAGGTACCCCCCACCCTCCTAAAAAACCCAACCAGCCACGTTTTCTCTGCGACAGCACACCCAACCGAGGCAGTGTACTGTTACAGCTGATGTTACTGCAACTACTAGTACTACTACTTCTTCTATTACTACTACTGCTACCACTACCGCTGTTTTACTACAATCATAACTGAGAGTGTAACAAAAAATGATATAACCGTTACTGCTAGCACCACCACCAACAAGAACAACACTATAGTTATGAAAATACATGATCTTTGAGCTATCTTACTTGTACACGTCCCGCCACATCAAGTACTTCCAAAGTGAATGTCAAGTTACAACTCCGCCACAAGTACCACAGGCCAATGTCCTGTTGTTCATTCCTGCACGAGTCGCACAGCAATGTTCGACTTGTCTTCTTTGAAAGCAAATTCTATCGCATTCAAGCAGCTATGAAGAGCCTTTACTTATAATTTGCAAAGTTTATATTGAAATCGTTTATTCGAATATTGCTTCCTATAATCTAATTGGGCGATTCAGTTGAAAATCGTGTCAAATGGTGCTGCTTGATGTTAACTGGATTTTCACCACATGTTCGTCGCCAATATCTGTTACTTGTCTCTCATATCGTGTAGTTTGGTTTCATTCCCAGTAACAATCACTTCTTTCCAACGAGGAGAATTTGGTGAGGTACTCCCCCCTGATATTGTATTCCTACCGCACACTCTCACACACAAAATACCTCCTAGTTAACACTATAGTATCACAATGTGCCATCCTAAAAATATATACAATAATTTCAAGGTTGCTCATGTCCGGCTAGTTTCAATAATCAGACACAAATTACCGAGTAAAGAAAACGAGTCCATTCTGTAAATAATCCCAGGAGGATAAATATGTTAAAGAAGTAGTTTGCCTGAATGAGTCAGAAACGGTTCATGTAAAGAACACCACACATGTACAGTGTGAAAAGTGCAGAGGGAGTCATTACACTCTTGAGTCACGGAACTTCAGTATCGCCTCGTTTCTCGCTAGGCGGAGTTGAATGGATGGCACTTAAGTCGAGAAGTTGGCAATGGACTAGATTTCGGTGTTGCTAACAATTGTGTTGGTGAATTTATGCGCTCTGTCCATAGTGCGTGGTTTTCAATGTGAATAGCTTCAGATATATTAACTCTTGCAGTTCCACATGTTTTAACTCGCTTAAAAACTAGTATTCGTTGCGTCTAAACTGATTTAAATCATCATCATTCTTTGTGTGCCGTTAGACGACACATAATGCTGGCATTCGATTCCTCCACTCCGCTCTATTACATGCAACTCTCTCGATTTCTGACAAGCAGTTCAGTCCAGCATTTTAAGCCTGTTGTAATAATGTTCTTTCTAATGTGTGCCCAATAATACTCCACATTCTTCGTCTTGTTGCAGTTGAAACAGACATTTGTTCAGACATTTCTCTGATCTCAGCACTCTGTTTGAATTCATCCCCTTTTTTTGTTGTTGATTTTTCTCAGATATTTTCAAATGCATTTAACTGTCGTTCCATATCGTTGGTGGGTCCCCAACTTTCACTGGCATATGTTAGAACTGAAATATCATTAGAATTGAAGATCCGTGGGAGATGTGTAACTTGGAGCTCCATATTTTGTTAGAGCTTTCAAATAACAACTATATTTAACAGATCATGAGTTTTAGTTTAGTCAAGAATCAACATAAGCACTTGGGGCATTTCCGTAAGTGATCTGTCCTCAGTGACCTTAGCTCCCGGGTCGACTTAGTCTTAAATTGGTACAAGGCACAGTCCTGGGAAATATAGGTAGCCAGCGTAATGTTGACCACACCACCCACTGGTCTATAAAAT